GGGAATTGGGGTGGGGGTGTGGGAAACGGGAACAGGGAATTGGAGTGGGGGTGTGGGAAATGTGGGAATTGGGGTGGGGGTGTGGGAAACGGGATGAGAGAATTACGATTGTGACAGTGGGAGACTCAGACACACAATGGGGGGTTGTAAGACAACGGGGGGCTCCGAGAGTCCTATTGGGGGGCTGTGAGGCTCATTACAGGGCCTTTGAAAATTGTAATGGGGCTGTGAGAGATTTAAGAGGCTCTGAAAGAATTGTAATGAGGGGCTGTGAGAAATGCATGGGGGCTCTGCAAGTTGTGATGGGGCTGTGAGGAAGGGCTGGGAGACTTGCCATGCTGGGCTGGTGGAGTTGCAACAGGGAGCTGTGAGAGACAGAATGGGTCACACTGTGAGGGCAAGGTCCTGCTGGCACGGCTCAAAGGAGCTTCACCCAGCCAGGGGCCCCTGCTGACCCCCAAACCTACAGCTCTCCCAAATCTCGTAAGGATTCCAAAATCTTGGGGTACAACCTACCTTTATCCCTAGATGAGCACACGTCCAGCCATGGCCACCAGGCAGACAAGTAAAAAGTTAATTGAGGAGATGGCAGGGAAGGCCTCGTGCTGCCGTGGCTCTGCTGTCTGCAATGGCTCCAAGGCCAGAGCAGCAGGAACCGTGAGTGAGGCTGCAGGGGGATCCCCAAAACCCCTTGGCTGCTTCACATGCTCCCCTCCGCTGACACAGGGAGGATGTGTCACCCTGAGACACTCCCTCCACCAAAGCAGGGTGGCTGTGTTGTTCTGAGGCATTTCCTCCAACAGAATGCAGACCAGGCTGCTCTGAAAACCACACAGGAGAAACTCCCACTGTGGGAAGGAGTCACCTCCTGCTCCCCCATGGGAGCTGGCACATCTCCTTAATTAACGTGGGGAGAAAAAATTGCCCAGTGCCAAGATCACTCATCTCTAGTTGCCTGACATGTCACACCCCAGCTCTGCAACGTAGAACTTTAACCCACAAGATCTTTTCCATCGAAGCATGCCACTGCACTGATAAAAACCCCTATTTCTATGTCCCAGAAGGAAAATGCCCAACCAGTTTGTACTGTGAGACTCTGAGCAGTTTGAAGTCAGGAAAAAAGACACACCCACAAGTGTTGGTGTTAAAAGCCTTCACTGCTTTCACCACTGAGCAAACCCATATTTCAGTATTTTCCATGGCCAAAGTCTCCTGATGATGTTTTGGTATTGATCAAACCCATGTTTTATTTGTCAGAGCTGCTTTTTGCCACCCAGCCGGACACCGTAACCTTCTGGCAATAAGTCCACCTCACTACTGGTCAAAGTCACCGAGCTGTAGTGCCTTAACAAATATGCAAATCTCCTGATTTAATCAGATCTCTGACGCAGGTGGATTCCATCCATGGTGGCCCCGAGCCTTAGCCCCAACTCCAGTTGCTGCAAGCCCATCCTTTGGCAGCCCGGTGCCTCAGTTTCCCCAGTGATGATGGGCTCTGCCAAACTGGGATCTACTGATTAATTAAAAAGCCCAACAACTCCTTGCACGCAAACCATCTATTATTCAAAACGTGTGATGGAGCCACGTGTGCAAAGAAAATGCGCTGCCAACACGCTCCACCGGCGCTTCCAGTGTGGAACTGGGCTCAGCTTTCCATTTTTCCATTTCCTGGTGGGAAGCCCAAGGAGCAGTTTGTACATGTCTCTACCTTTAACGGGCTCTCCATTTCGGAGAGGAAAAACCAAACCAAAAATGCCAAAAAGCCAAACAACTTTTCCATGATAAATTCTCCCTCTGATGGAGTGTACTTGCTACAACTGCAATCCCAGCTCTTCTTTCTCCTGCTGGGGTGGCATCTCTGAGGGACACAAGTAAAGCACAGCAGCTCCCAGGTCCTTCCAGGGAATCTCACACGGAGTCACTGCTGTCACCCGGCCATCTCACAGGACATGCAGGGGCTGGGAGCTGTCACAAACAAAGCCATCGACTCTGTTGACAGGAGAAGGTTCAGATGAGTGCCAGGAGGGTTCCATTTACACAACAGCCAGCTGGAAGAGGAGCACAAAGCTCGGCTGGTGACGCAAAACAAAGCTCTGGACCATGGTGATACTCTTCAAATGCTTTGCAGGGAAGCTGTTCCTAGTTGCAACTGCACCAGCGATGCTGCTGTAACCAGATCCTCCAGCTCAGCCGAAGATTTTAAAGAACACAGACCCAGGCTGAAGAACAGAGCAGGTATAACACTCCCCTCAGCAGGCCAGAACGGCTGTGACAAAGGACCAGCACCATCCTTGTGTCTGCAGAACAGACACACGTTTGTGCCAGCCCAGTGTCCTGCCATGAGCACCCAGGGGCAAGATACGGCTGCACTGCCCTGTGTGCTGCCCTTCCCGGGGGCCAAACAGCTGAGCACAAGGGGACTTGAGCCGTTCTCCATGACCCGATGGCCCTCAGCCTTTGGGATACACACTGCAGGGAACAATTTAAATTACTCCTGTGGGGGTGTAACTGAGAGCCCAGCTATCTCTGGACAACTCAGCCAGCCCCACAGTTAAAACATTTGGATGTTTCTTATCAGTGCCTGGAGAGGATTAAAGTGCCAGGCTATTTATTAGTGAGGGAGCAGGTTATAAACCCATCTCAGCTTGAGCACCACGTTCATGTCAGGAAAAGCAAGGCAAGAACAGGACAGATCAAAAGAGAGCCATTAAAGGCGTGAGAAAATGAGGCTGCCATATAAGGAGCTAATAAAGTTAGCAGCTCTCCAGTTTGAAGGGAAAAAAAAGGGCAGAAAAAGTGGAAAACATCCTTGGGGTCCACACAGCAGCCTCTCCTTGAGGAGGAAAAACCAATAAATAGAAGTGGGCAGACACAATGCTTCAAAAGGCAGGTTTATCCTTTTTGAACACAGCACCTTTCCCGAGCGGTGGAGCTGCCACACATTGCTGAGACTGCTCATCAAACGTTTCAAAAAGCAAAGATTAGATACTGAACAAGGACAGCAACCAGCACTCTGTTGGCTCAGACCGTAACTTCCTACCCTCAGGTCTGGCTCAGCAACATCTCTGTGTGACGTGTTGGGAAAGGGGGATATTACACCTCTCCCTGGCTACATCAGCCAGGATTCATGGGGATCTGAGCGGGAACACGAGGGTTCTCCCCACCACCAGGGCACAGCCAGTTCCTTTGCTTTTTGTAAAAAAGCAGGATGTTTCCCAGCAAAGAGCCCCAGAAAACACTCAGTGTTCCTTTGTTTGAGCCAGCCAGCTCCAGCCACCATCTTGTCAGGATAAAATGTATTTACGTGTCTTCCTCACTCATTGATAGTATTTATGAAAAGAACACTATGACAACTGAATATCAAATTCCCAGCTAGGCTTTTATCTCCTTTTTAAACCAGCCTGAATTATTGGCCTAATTTTATATCTTACCCATTCTGCTTTATGCTCATTTTCTCCAAGAAAGAATTGGTGCCGTTTGATATTTAGACCCATTTGTTGCCAAGACAGAGGCTATCAGCTTAGGGGCTGAAAACACTTGGAGCACAGAGCTGAGTTCTGGAGCCTTAACCAACACAAAGCACAGGATTTATATTAATAAAGCTCTTGATTTCAGTTCTTTTGAGGGTTAGTGCTCCAAATCTTCCTGATGAAATGACTCTGTGCAGAAAACTCCCTTCACGTTTTTGAAATGCAATATTTAGTAATTTGTTTTCTGATGCTCTTCCCTGTGGTGTTCTTATCCACAGTGCCAGGGACAGGAGCTGCCATGAAATGCCACCGTTTTAGCCAGTGGCTTAGCACCAGTCACACCCACAGCCCAGTATACAGGGGGCCCTGGACCTCAGTTGACATTAAACCCGTTATTATCTCTATATAAAAGCACATTTCTGTTTTTAAAATTCCTTCTACAAAGAACCAGAGGTTTCTTCAGCAGCAGAACCCAGTGTGATGGTTAAGCCACACAACCAAAATCCACATGCCAACAAAGGACTGCAAAAGAGTTTACTCACGCTTATGGCGTGGTAGATGTATTAGAAATAACACTTTTTCTTTAGCCTGTTGTTGGGAAACAATGAATATCACAGTGCCAGCTCCTGCCCTGCTTCCCCTTGCCCCCAAACTCCTCCACAACCATGTGCCAGAGAGCTGTGTCTGCTGACCTCACAAGGGTTCTCCCCAAACACAGGGCTGGCTTTCATCACTAGACAGGACTATGGCCTTCCAGGCTGCAAAATATTACATTTTAATGGAAAACCAAAGAAACCAAACATAAAAAAAAGACAGTTCCATGTGACTGGATACCCAAACAGGACAACTGCAAAGGATATAAATCCCCTAGGACTGGTTACACTGGTTACATCACCAAATCCTATACTTTGCCATTTTTAACACTTAATTGTTGCATTAACTCTACATCCGGATGTGATTTTTTACCTGTGTGCAATGCCCAGGAGGAAAAAAAAAAAAATCTCAGAAATTACACTGGAAATGTTACAGGACAAGGCTTTAGCACAAGCCCTACAGTCTAAACCTGCAAGCTACAGGCTTCTCTTCCCACATTCCTCATTGGATTGAGCAGCATACCCAGCACAAAATAAACACCAAGCCACCACCATCTGAGCTTTAGTTTCATCAAACACCATTTTGATACCACAGCAAGGTGAGGGTGTTTAAATGAAAAGGAGTGATCCCATGTCTGTGGAATTACTGCTCCTTCACTCCACAGAAAGCACAAAGAGAAATATTTGTGCATCAACACCTGCTGCGCTCTAAGCCTCTCCTCCAACACGGCATGGGAGAAGTTCCTCGTCTGCCTTTGGCTTTTATTTTCACCTCTGCAAATCTCACAGTGCAGCTTTTAACTCCTTGGGCTAAGAGCAAAGCTTAAAAGACCATGGTTTTCTGCTGGAACTCAAAATGTCTCTCAGACATACCTGAGCAAGCCCGGAGTTCTCACAGTTTTCTCCTGAACAGAAGAGGAGTGGAGGTTTTTATCGCTTTTTGGCACTGGAAATTCAGGTTTTGTTTAGCTTGGAAATATCATGGATGTAGCTCGAGTAACTCTTCAGGGGTAAAAGTTCAGCACTCACAAGGCAATTCTCAGTCGTTTATCCTAAACTGCCAAAGGAAAGTAATTTAGAGTCCCACAGGGTGTGCCAGCCTGAAAAATGTGGAATCATCCCAACAGGCAGCTTCTTGCTCCTCCAAACTTCCCTGCCAGCAAAGGCCTATGAAGAGTACAAGGTGTATCTCCAAACCAACACAGCCCTAATGAGGGAATAAAATCCAAATCCCTGTCCACCTTGGCTTATTCCAAACAAGGCTTTAGGCACATTGTTCACACATCTACCACAGGGAGCAGGGTATGAAATCTGACCTGGCCACCTCATCCCCGCCCTGCACTTAATTTTGGCCAAAAAGAAGGATAAAGCTGTAGCTGTGCTAGAAATCCCTGCAGCAACCAGTCAGTGAAATAATTTCTCCTAAGGGGCTTCTCCAGGGTCGGGTCAGACAGCGGCATCCATGGAATCCTGATGCAATATCCTCATTAAGAGTGGCTAACGACCCCCAGCACTCCCTGTGCACTAATGACTGCGGGAAGCTGCGGCTCCAAGCCATGTGTGACCTGGCAGAGACCAGCACCAGGTCTTTGGTTATTGCCTTTGCAACACAACAGAAGAAATGACACCCAGTAAGGAAGCGTTTCCCTTCTTCCCCGTGAGCAGGACTCTAAGGAATGGAGTTATAAACCAGCTGCATCTCACAGGACCAAGTTCACAGAGAAAAAAAAATGTAATTCAAGGGGACCCTGATCTTCATCAATACCATTTAAGATGTTCAACACTCCCTCCGACCTCCACTACTTTTGCCTGAGCAAAATTAGGAGGAATAATAGACTATCCCACGTAGGTCTGTGGGCTTGAAGGGAAAGGGGCCCCACAGTTTTGCTCCCTGGAGGCACCCGCTGTCCCCACCCCTTTTGTGTGTATTTTTTTTAACGTGCCACACATCAGCACAATGCTGACAAGGGCTTTGTATGTTTTCTGCCTATGCAGCAGTTCAAGACACACAACTCTGGATTTTTTGAAAGGGAAAGGGGGAGGGAGCTGCCCTTTGCTGTACTGTTTAATTGCACCGCTTGCTCTTCTGCATGACCACAGGGAAGGGAAACAGCACCAAGGTTTAAAAACAGGACCATTTTTAGTAGCCAAAAGGGTCAAACTCAGTCTTCTCACAAGATGCAGTGGAGCTCAGAGTAAAATCTACCAGAGACAAGAAAAAAATTATAATTCACCAGGGTTTCTTCTCTGGAGTTGGATGTGACCCCAGAAAACAGCTCATCCATCCTCACTTGCTGCTGTTACAGTCTCCACATTTGCACACCTGCCAAAGCATATTCCAGCACTGAAAAAAAAAGGAGGGAAAGGTCTGGAAAGCTGGACTGTCAGATTTTCCACCTGCCAGGAGCAGCTCAACGAAGCCTGGGTGGCTGAGCTCCAAGGAGCAGCGAGCAGAGCACGTTACCAGCCTTCTGGAGTTCCCATCTCACACGCACATGCCTGATTCGGACAGCGCTGGCAAATAGCTTCCTTCAAAAATAAGGATGACTAATCCACAGCAGCCCCGCTTTATTTATTTATTTTAAAGGCCACAAGGCAGAGCTTTTTCCAGAAGCATCAGCCTTTGTGAACCAGCAAGCAGTGGGAAGGGAAGCCCTGGGACCCACTGATGCTCTGCAGACAGAAGTAACCACAGGAACACTGTGGGTTTGTGTGGCCCGGGTATGACACATGCAGACATAGCTGGAACCTTGTCCCTCATGCTTCTGGCAAGGCCAGATCCCACTGCCTGGGCGACTCCTGGATCCCCGCGTGGTTTGTAGGGATCTGCTGTGGAGAGGGGTTATATAAACAATACACTGTTTCCCTTGGTAAAAAACAAACAACCAAAACCAGAGGACAAAAGGCATGAAACAGCTTTAAGTGCAGCATCTCCCAGGGTGAGGGGATGTGCTGGAAAAAAAGGGGGTGCAGGGATTTGGGATCAAAGCGGAGCACCTGAATCGCTCGGTGGGTCCAGTCCCCCAGCAAGGTCACTCCGGCTCGCAGGGACACACATTAGTGTTCCAGTGCAAGGCTGCGCTGGAACCGCAGCGGAGGCAGCGCTGCAGGAGGTCACTTAGGGACTGCACAAAGGGAATGGATTAAAAAAAAAAAATCCATAAGCAGATGTTTACTGACATGCAGCAAATCCACAGCTCGGCTCTGGAAAGCTGCGTGGCTGGAGGGAGAACAGCCCAGTTCCCAGGACGCAGCAAATACTCTGCATCTACAGATTTAGGTTACAGCTTTTAGCCAGCCCCACACCCGCCACCCCACCCACCACCCCCACTGAAAAACCCCCAAACCAAACCAAGTTTGTCATCTTTTTAAGCACTCAGAAATTGAGGTTTGCCACCGAGGTGATTTTGGGTGGTGGCACCATTAAATACTTACCCACCTCACAGCCAAGGGCTGCACAATCTGAAATTTGTGAGTGTTTGCAAATGGTTTGGAAAGCTTTCCAAGGAAGGTGCTGTAGGATTGTAAATCCTTCCCGTTATTAATAAAAGGGAGCTATTGTTCCAGCTCTAATCAAGCCTTGTCTCCAGCTGGGCAATTTTAAAATGCAATTCAAAACACGCACAGGAAGAAAATAAAAGATCATGAGGAAGCTTCGGGGAAGAAAAAAAAAAACCAAAAAACAACAGAACAAAACAAAACCAAACAGTGAAGGAGAAATGGGAGGAGGGAATGAAAATAAAAATTAATACTCCTGCTATTTAAAATGAATTCCAAGCAGGAGCATGCTGGGGTGGGGGGGAATCCCCTCTCCCACCGCCTGGGAAAGGTCACTCATGCCATCGGTGCCACGGCCACGCCGGAGCAGAGCTGCGGCGCTGCCAGCCCTGCCTCATCCATCTCCATCAGCGACAGCTCTGCTTTCCAATTATTTAGAGGGGAAAAAAAAACCAAAACAACAAAAACCCAAAAAAAACCCCCTCCAAGTTGCAAACACCTCCCCAGTGCTCTGTTTTCAAGGCTGGGGGAACGGAGCAAGGGGGAGCGGCTTGGAATGAGGCTCCCAGCCAGGGAGAGGTGGCGCATCCTCCGCATCCTCCTCCTCCTCCTGCCCGGCGCTGCGGCAAAGGCGCCGCAGTGGGGGCTCCCCGCCCCCGTGGAAACTTCTGGAACAAGCAGCCAAGCTGGAGAGAGGAGAGGAACCTTTATACCCGCAGAAGGGAGAGGGAAAAAAACAAAACAAACCCATGTAATAAAAGGGAGAGGACTGCACAAGGTCGGGGAAAAATAAGCGATCTCTGTAAAAGTGAAGCCCCCGAGCGGCTCCGGCAGCCCCGGCTCGGGGGATGGTGCAGCCGCCTCGGCTCGAAACAAAACGCCCCAACAAAGCGTATTTAAAAAAAAAAAAAAAAAAAAAAAAAAAAAAAAAAAAAAAAAAAAAAAAAAAAAAAAAAAAAAAAAAAAAAAAAAAAAAAAAAAGAAAAAGAGAGAGAAAGGGAAAAAATAATGGTGGCGTTTGTAGCGCGAGATGGTGGGATAAAGGAGCTGATCCCTCCTCCTGGATCTACAGCAAAGCCGGCCATTGCAGTTCCATTTATCCTTTTTTTGTGCAATGAATTGTCTGATCCGGACTATTCGGTTGCATTTGCAGCTTCACTTACTGCGGTTTGGTTCTGTCGTGCTTTTTTCCTTTTTGTTTCTTTTTCATTGTTTTGTTTTGGTTTGTTTGGTTTTTTTTTCCCTGGGTATATTTTTTTCCTCTTTTTCATTAAAAAATAATCCTTCCCAAATCTCCCAAGGAAAATCTACATCTCTGTGGAACAAATAAAACATGCAGGCACAAACTTCCATCATGGACTGTAAAAAAAGAGATGGGTTGGTTTTTGTTATATTTTTTTTCTTCTTTTTATTTTTGATGGCATTTTTTCTCCTGCTTTTAGGACACATTGTAGTAGGAAACCAATGGAGGAAAACAAAGGTAATATATATATATATATATATATAATCAAAGATATATATGGGCCAAAGTTATAGTGATTATATATAATTAAATTATAGTTTTTAGTTATGTGGGCTTATTTTATATTTTAAGTAGTCCCTAGGAAAAGGTCATCTATATAAAAACATTAAATATATAGCAGTATTTATATATTTATATTTATTAAATACATATAAGTATTTATGTATCCATAGAAATAAAAGAGCATCTGTATAGGCCTAAATCTGCAATTCTATGGGAAAAAAAAAAAGCAATATTTTTGGTACGTAGCTTTTAAGAAATAACAAGCAATGTTATAGCCGGTAACACTGATGCAGGAAAAAAGGGTAAGGCAACATTAAAGTAATATTTAAAACAACAAAACAAAACAAAAAAAAAGCATGGTACCTTGGCTACAGCCTCCAACAACGAGTGGGTGGATGTTACGGGATTTGGGTTTTTTTTTTTTAATGGCATTACCACGTCTGATCACACCAATATATGATTTTAATTAAGCGAAAGGCGGGTGAGCTGTCGTGGGGAGCAGGCGAGCAGCGATCGCTTCTTCCCATACCGCTCCGGCTCCGATGATAAATCAATCCTCGTACGTTTGGGGCTTTTTTTTTTTTTTTTTTTTTTTTTTTTTTTTTTTTTTTTTTTTTTTTTTTTTTTTTTTTTTTTTTCCCCTAAGCACTTTTGGGGATTTTCCATGCCGTGAGGAGACCGAGAGATGGCGGCTTCAACCCCTGCGAAGGAGAAAAGCGGTGGGAAAGCGAAGAATTAGGCATAAACTACCCACCTTGGGGGTGCGTGTGGTGATGATGAAGGAAAGGGGTGGGGGGCATGAGGAAAGCGCAATTCAGAGCCAAAGCCCCTTAGCTGTTAGGGGGAAAAAAAAACCTTATTAGGGGTATAAATGGGGGAGCGGGGAGGGGAGCTGAGGTGAGAAGACCGGGGGCTCCGCCACAGCCGAATAAAAATGCGCATTTCTGGCCATTTTCACATCCTTTCCGCAAAGGCGGCGAGGAGAAAAGGGCAGGAGGGAGGAGGGGATAAGAAGAAGGTCAGGTTTCACCCGCAGCGCTTTCGCCGCCCGCCCGGAGGGGGATTCCCACAGGATTAGAGCCCCTCCGTTGTGCCCGCGCCGCTCCTCGCCCGCCGCCATTTTGTCGCCTCAGAGCCGATCCCGCGGCCCCGCCGGGCGGCCATTTTGTGAAGCGGGCGCGGGGGGGCAGCGCCTGAGGGGCCGTGAGGGAACCGTGAGGGAACCGTGAGGGGCCGCCCCGGCCGGCGCCGCCTTTTGTCCCCCCAAACCTTCCTTTTCCTCCCCGTTTAACCTTTTTCCTTCGGGAGTTCATCTTTTCCCTCCCGAAACACTTGGTGCTGAGCTCCCCGCCTCGAGCCCCATCGCTTCAGCAAAAAAAGCAAACAAACAATAAAATGAAAAAAAAAACCCCACCACACTCAGGCGAAGCAATCCAGTAAATGAGATTAAAGCATATTCCACATCTTGGCTGTGAGGAAAAGTTTAGCTGCACGGAGAATTAAGGGATATAATATTACGTATACTTATTCCCTGTCCTTCTCCACTTCCCCCCCCCCCCCCCCCCCCCCCCCAGTAATAAATCCCTGACATCAATAATCCACCTTGACAAAGGGGATAACCTCTTCAAAAAATATCCATGTTTTTATTTCAATAAAACACCTCACTCACACTGCTTTACTGGACATTCCATCAAAATAAAGATATAACTTAAACCACTTGAAGCCAAATCTGGGTGAAAATTGGTAATTTTCAGGAAATAGGGCTGCAGGATGCTATAATCACTGATACATGAAGGAAATCTGGGGTGTGAAATAGCAAAACTCTGCTCGCAGGTGTGTGCTGTGAGTCTGTTTTGAAAAATAGGGTGGGTTGGGCTTTTATCCTTTATTTTATAAAGAAGCCAGTATAGCACTCGCAGCCTAGTAACGCGCTTGCGCACTTGCCTCATCCCTTTCCCTTCATGCTATCAAAATCAATGTGCTTTAAAACTACATTGTGGCAGCGGGTGGTTCAGTTTTTCCAGAAAAATTTGGGATAAATGAGAATATTAGCATACAGCCTTTTTTTTTTTTTTTTTAAATATATATCTCACCTGTGCTGCATGACCTGGAGAAATCCACACTTGGGCTGTTCTTGTATAATCCCTGCTGGGTTTTGCCTCTCCCAGAATCAGCAGAATCAGACTGCTTTTCATTTAAGAAATCTATTTTTTTTTTAGGCTGTGTCAAAGGAACACGCAGAAAATAGGTCTGAATGCTCTGTGGGGAAGAACAGCGCTGCAGGGAGCTGGCTGGGATGTGACTGCCATTAACCTGGGATCCAAACTAAAAAAAAAAAGTTTTCCTGCAGTTCTTTCTATCTTATTTGAGAAAAGCCATCGCCAGCACCCAACCTTGCTCCCAGCACTTTTCCCAGCCCCTTTATCATCCCACTTTCCTTGCACCACACAACAAATCTTCCATTTTCCAAAGAAACCTGCAGAAAGGGTTATTGGTTTTTTTGGGGGTTTTTTTTGTGAGTCAACACTTTAACCGCTGATTTGAAAACACTACAGCTGTGCCTGGCAGCTCCTTCTTCAATTTAAAACCTCTTTTTAAAAACCAGGCAGTCCTTTGAGTTGTAAAAAGATAACCTTTAGGCTTTCTTTATGGGACGCACGGTTGTATTCCTGGGAGCAAGTTGGCCTCGCAGCAGAGCGAGAGCTCGGATGCCTTCGCTGGGAAAGCCCAAGGAAATTTTATCCGCGGGCCGCACCCAGCCTGAAGTGAGGAAATATTTGCATTTGCTGCTCCTTGGAAGGCAGCCAGGTCCTTCCCGCTCTCCTCAGCCTGCCAAGAGGGATTGCAAGAGCTGACGGGCGTATTGCAGCAGCCAAGGGAAGGGCTGGAGCCATCCGGAGCGCTGCCATCCTCTCTGCCCTTTGCCACTGCCACAGGGACAAGAGGAGGGACTTGGAGTGGGCTTTACACCTGGGTGGTCTGGGGGGGTGCTCCACAAGGCTGTGGAGCCCAGCCCCTCAAAATGTTGTTTTTTCAATGCAGGATGTGTGGTTGGTTTACTTCTGCAGACCTGGGTGCTTGCAGAAGTTCTCGTGATGGGGTGAGGAGGCCAAGGACAGGCTGAGCCACTGCAGCCGATGGCAGTGGGACAGGATCCAGCCCCAGCCCTGCAGGATCTCCTGCATGCGGCTCAGAATTCCTCGAGCTCCTCCCAAGGGAAAACACGGGGCTGTGCTTTTCAGGCAAAGCAATGCTCCCCAAGCCTCAGCTCGTAGTGCTTCTCCCTTTATCCGGGAAGATGCCTTAAATCAGCCTTTTTGTCCTCTTACCTGTGTCCGTGTATCCCTGTCCCTTGTCACCCTCCGCTCCTGAAATACCACGTCAAATCTGACCACGCCACATCCCTTCACCATGCTGCCAAACGCTCCAGCGGTGCCTTTCCTTTCTCCTTGCTTTCCAGGACCTTCTCCAAGGCTGCCTGTAAATAAAAGCATTTCCCTGCCTGTCTCCAGCCAAAAATTCTGCAGTCCCAGTGCCAACAGCCCATCCTGGAAGGCTCCAAGGGGGAAATACCCAACTCCTTCCCACCATTCCTCTGTGGAAGAGTAGTGCAATTTGCAATAACACATCCAAAACACCGCTCAGCATTGCACTTCCATCCTCCCCAAAAACCTTGAGTGGAAACATATCCATATTACAAAATGCAAACAGCCCTTTGCCCTCTGGGCTTTCTTTTTCCTGCTCCCTTTGGCCACTGCCACATCCTTTTACTTTTTTAGCATTATTTTGATGCCAGATTTTCCTCACAGTGCAAGAAGCTTTGGAAAGTGAGAGGTGACTCAGAGCACAGGAATTCCTTGGCATGGGACAAGGAGTTCCCACCCAACTGGACCCAAAGCCACCAACTTATGTGTCCAGGACAGACCACAACTTATTTATAAATACATTTAAAGCAAGTTATGATCTGATTGATGGCCCAGAGATGCTCATTAAAAAACACTGAGTAATCAGCTTTGTAGATAGGGAAGAGTCATCAGGAAATAGTTATTGATGTGATTAATTAACTATCATTAACCCCTCCACTCAAACAGAGCACACACCAGAGATGTATGTGATCCAAGAGCTGCTGGTCTGGTGGTTGTTTTCTTTGTTTGCAGCTCCCATTTTCCATCAGGAAATCATTAAACATCATCTCATGCTCATGAGATTTTCTCGCATGCGCATGCTATTTTCTGCTCTTGATTTGTGGCTTTTTAAACACTTTCGGTTAAAAAGAAAGTTACGAAGTTTCTCCGCCTGGTTTGCAGCGCCCTCGCAAACAAAACCACTAAGTGCCGCCAACATCAGTTGCACAGATGTTGGGCACGCCGAGAAATGGTCTAATTTCTGCTGGTTTGAGGCCTGGACTGAGAGGAGATCAAAAAGTTTCCACTGGCAGAGCGATATAATCTTGGATAATATGCAGAAAGCGGGCTGTCCATCTTTCCCAGCGTCCCGGCCCTGCGGGATGCTTTTAGCTGGAGTTTTACTGCCTGATGGAGGAATCTGTGCTCCGGCTGCCCTCTGCCGGCTCCGGATAGATAGTCAGCAAAAAAACCCGAAACCACACCAAAACCCCTTTTATCAACACCACGAAACATCGCCAGATCCCATATGCACCCTAAAAACAACACTCGGCTCTCCCCAGGGTGGCAGCAGCATCTGCCATATCGCTGCACCCTAAAATCAATGGTTATGAACCAATTCTCGCCACGCCTAGAAAATCCAAAACTGGCTTTTTTCCCTTAATTTAAACTTGGATTTTATAGGTTTGGAATGCAGGGTGGATTAAAGAAATGAGTGTTTAAAAACTTGGGGTTTTATTTAACTGCGAGTAACTAAATCAGTGCCCACAGCTCTCCACAGAGAGAAACATTTCAGTGAAATGCCAAGGAAGCTTTAGAAGAAAGAAACACCACCCAAGAAAACCAAACTGGCCTTCGGAAAAAGGAGTTTAAAAAAAGAAATGAGGACTAAAACCTCCAGTCCTTATTGCTGCTCTGTCAGGGCATTTTATATTCATGATGAGTGCAGAGCTGTGCGGGGACGTATCCACAGTTCTCCACCCAACCAACCCACCAGGTCAGGGGCCTGGGGACATTTTTGTGGTGAAAACTCAGTTCTGCAGTAATCTGGGGATGCAGCAGGCACCCAGGGTTGGCCATGGGGTGGATCCCACTGGGGGCACCCCCTTTTTGGTGCACTGGAAGATCTTGATGAGCTGCAGGGTCTCAGCAGGACGACTCGTTGCGCCAGTGGATGTGGCAGGACTTGCAGAGGAGGTGGTCGTCCAGGGGGTAGCACCCGTTCTCTGTCAGCTCCGGTGACAGGGGCATCCTACAACTCTGGGGGCAGGAGGGGGAAAGGAAGCCACCTTTTAGAGGTTCCTGTGTGTGTTACATCCTATTTTCCCTGCAAAACCCACCAGCACTCCAAAAAAGCGACAAACTACATCAAAAGCATGCAAAGCTAAAGTTCTCCAAACACATCACCACCACCCAATTGATTTATTTTGCCCCTCCCCATTACTCATAAGATAAACTGAGGGCTAAAACCCAGTCATGGGTGCTGTCATCCCTGTGTCCATGCTCAGCTAAGGTTCAGTGCCACCCCTTTGGTTTTGGGGACCCCTCAGCCCCCAGGGCCGTACCTCGCAGCGGTAGCAGCTCTCGTGGAAGCTGCGTCCCAGGCACTCGATCTTGTAGGTGTCCTCGTCCTCGCGGGGGACAATGGGGCGCTCGCAGGCGCTGCACACCGCGGCGTATTTCCTGATGGGAGCCAACGGGAGCAGCGTGAGCTCTGCAGGGGATGAGCCAAACCCAGCTCCCAGCGTGGGAGACACTCCCCCATGGCCAACCTGTAGTAGTCGGGCACGCAGTACACATCACCCTGTTTGTCCACAGCAAAGCTCTCGGTGCCGATGGCCCGGCCACAGCCAGCGCAGGAGAAGCAGCTGGGGTGGTAGCCCTTGCCCAGGGCATGGACAATGTGCTCCGTAATCAGCCCCTGGCACTTGGCACATTTCTCCAGCGTGGCCTGGAATTTAGGGAACACGTGCCATAAGACACCAGCCCACACCCCGAGGGATGTTCCGAGTGTGCTGGTTTTCCCCGAAGATGGATGGGTACCTGGAAGCAGGTGTCACACGTGGGGCACCCGTCTCTCTGGAAGTAGCGCTGCCCAGCCAGGAGCCGGTGGCACATACGGCAGGTGAAGCACTCAGGGTGGTACTGCTTCCGCATCGCCTCCACCGTCGGCTCCCGGGGCCCCAGCGCTTTGTGGCAGAAGGCACAGATGTCTGCAAGAAGCAGGGAGAGCGGTTAGGAGCTGCGTGCCTCAGTTTCCCTAAGAGGGGATGAGCCCATGCACAGCTGAGTCTCCTCTTACCTCTGGAGCTGTCCCTCCCCGGGTGCCCATTTGCATCCTGCCACTGCCGCTTGCCTGCTTGCTCCTGGGAAAATGTGGGCAGCTTCAATTCAGCAGGGAAGGTGGAAGGGGCCTGGCAAGTGGGGAAGGGCAAAGCCACGTTAGTGGGGAAGCTGAGGCACTGGGGGGTGCTGCACTCTGTTATCCTCACCTGGAGGGTGGCGGGCGCTGCAAGGTCCAGTTGCTGCAGTGCCAGACCCAGCGGCTCCACAGACAAGGGCTGGGGCACTTCAGAGAGGGGCAGGACTGGTGGGGGTGCAGGTACAGGGGCCACCGGGTGGGTTTCTGCAGCAACAGACAGATGTGGGGGATTTAGGGGATCAATAATGTCCAATAGCACCCCGTCACAATAACACCCTGTCACAATAACACCCCAACAGCTTTGCAGCAGCGCTCACTGACCTGCCCCAAAAGCAAACGCCATCGAAGCAGGAGGAGACAAGCAGCACCGATAAGCACCCAGCAATGGAGAGCAAACACAGCCCGTCCCCAGGAGCCGGATCCATGCCGGGTTGCATGCAGGGATTTGGGGAATAACTCCCCAAAACATACCCCAAAATGCCCTTCCGCACGCACATCCTTTAGCAAAGCATCTCTACAGCCTCCTCAGCCCCATTGCCATCCTTCCACATCGCTCGCAGCCCCCCATGGACACCCCTCACCTCTGTAGGGCAGCGAGGGGGGTGACAGCAGGATCTGGGGGTGATGAGCGCCAGGGACCTTGGCATCACCTGGCTGCAGCTCCCGTTGGGTTTTCTCCTTGGTGGCCACGTCCCTCCGTGGTGGCACGAGGGTGATGAAAATGGATGAAGCGATTCTCTTCTCTGCTTTCCCTGGCAACATTGCTGAAGCCATGGAAAGGCCAGATCGGGGGTTGATTCTAGGGAAAATAAGAAAGAAAGAGAGTAAAACTTGCAGGCACACTGGCAGCTCCTGCAGCCGTGCTGCCCTTCGGCATCAACCCACCTCCCTCCTCCCGGAAAGGGAGAAGGAACAAGCGTCCCATCCCACGTCACAGCAATAAATGGTCTCGTGCCTGGGAGGACACAGGGTACAGAATCCTGACAGCAGCTGATATCTCCCATTTTCACACCTCTGTGGCCATATTCCACCTTTTCATAAGCATTTGGATCTCCTGTATTTCCTCTTATTGCTCCTACCCACCTGGGATTAAACTCCCCATGGGCAGCAGGAAGTACCCACCTTTCCTTTTATAAAACAGGGCAGCTATGGGATTTTGCTTTTGCAACCCCTTTTTTGAAATCTTTCTACATCCCCATTCCCTCCCTCCTTATCCCCAATTCCTTGCCAATCACTTCCAGCTCTGCACATCCCCCTCTTTTACTTTTCCAGGTGGGAAAACTGAGGTGTGGTGCTGTGAATCACCACATCCCCGACACTGACACATCCCCTGAGCAGCACCCGGCAGCACAGGCAGGACGCACCCGACCCCGAGAAACGCTGCTCAGGAAGGAAAAGGGCTGTTTGTCCAACTTCCCAAGGGGAAAAGCAGCTGGGGCGAAGCTTCCCCTTCCCAAATGGAATGGACTGAGGGGGGGGACCCTGAGGCTTTAGTCAGGGCGCTGTGTTGGTGAAGCAGAATTCATCCCTGAGGTGAATTGGCAGCTTGAAAGATACCTGTGTGATGAGTTCCCGGTCTCATGCGGCTCTGCTCCCCCAAAATCTCACTCACGGGGGTCAGCACATCCTTTGAGGGGCAGACAGACTCCCCGAGGTGGGCAAAAAGCTTCGCGATGTTCCTGCTGGTGACTTCAGCCTCTGACTCAAGGGATTAAAGAGGAAGGGATTAAAAAGGAAAAAGAACCCCGATCATTTGCTCCCTCTTTCCCTCCCTCCCCGCCGGCTACCGGTGCCTTCGCCCAGCTCCTCACCCGCCGGGGCTACCGCTTTTCCTCCTCCCCAGCAGAACTGCGGAAAACTGAGGGGAAAAAGAAAAAAAAAAAAAAAAAAAAAAAAAAAAAAAAAAAAAAAAAAAAAAAAAAAAAAAAAAAAAAGTTCTCCGGGGTTAATAGGAACCATGTGCTCATCGCATTCCTCTTTGTGCCGGGGCTGACGGGATCCCGGCAGCGGCACCCCCCGGATGATCCCCCTGGCCCGGGGCCACCGGGCTGGTCGAGGCTCGAGGGGTGCATTAACGGGGGTCCCCCCTTCCCATGTAGCTCCACCCTGGTTTGGGGTGGCCGAGGCCACACTGGAAAGGAACCCCCCTGGTTTCCCTGAAATCTCCTGGGATGGAAGTTCGGGTGGGATTGATGGGAATAGGGCCACTTATGGGGTATCCCCACAACCCCAAAACTGGCATGGGACGCAGCCCTCTAGAGCTGCACCTCGACTCTGCCCTGGGAGCTCTCACAGGCTGCTCCGAGGACGCCCAAGGAACAAGGGATGGGATGGGGGTACATAACACTTGGTGTCCATCTTCCCCCACCCCAAGCAGTCCCGCTGTCCTCTTGTCCCTCACCTGGGGGGTGGCCTTGCAGCCCCCGGGCATCCCCTGTGCAGCCCCACAGCTTCCTGTCCCCCACCTGGCAGTGCCCTGTCCCCTGTGGAGCGGTGCCCCACCGTGTCCCCCCTGCCTGGGAGCCCCCATCCCCTCCCTGGGAGGGTCCCCAGTCCCCTCCGTGGGGGTGGCTCTTGGTCCCCTTGTCTCACCCCAGGATGACTTCGGTCCTTATCCCATCCCGTGGGGGTCCCGTATCCCATATCGGGGTGTCCCCTGTCCCCTCCTGGGGGGTGGCTCTTGGTCCCCTTGTCTCACCCCAGGATGACTTCGGTCCTTATCCCATCCCGTATCCCATATCGGGGTGTCCCCTGTCCCCTCCTGGGGGGGTTTCCAATCCCACATCTGGGGTGGTCCCTACCTGAGGGTGGCCCCTGTTTCCTACCTGGGGGTCGTACCTTGCGGGCGAGGAGGGGTGTCGCCTGCCCGGAGGTGGCCCTGCGGCCTCTCGGGGGGTGACCCTGTCCCCGTCCGTGTCCCCGACCTGGGCAGCGGCTGCGGGTCCCTCCGTGCGCTCCGCGGGCGCGGCGGGGGCAGCGGGAAGGCAGAGCCGCCCGGCATCACCGCCCCTTCCTCCCTCCTCCTCCTCCTCTTCCACCTCTCTTCCTCCTCCCCCCTGCCTGCCCCACAGCCCCGGGCGGAGGAAGAGTGGGGCACGCGTCCTTAGGGTGCCCCATGCACCCTCCGACTGCCCCGCGCTCCCCAAAGCGCTCCCTGGGGGCCCCATCTACCCCAGGGTGACCCATGGTCCCGTGGGTGCCCCATATGCTCTGGGATTACCCCCTCCCAGGTTTTCCCATGGACCTGCGGTGGGCTCCACACACCCTCAGGGCACCCAACCCCAAGGGGTGCCCTGTGAGCCCCCCATACACCCCCGGGGTGCCTGCGTACCCCAGTACAGCCGAAATACCTCCATATACCCCCAGGATAACCCCTATCCTCCAATACAGCCGGAGTTAGCCCCATATTTCTTCTATGTACCCTCAGGGCACCCATGTGCCCCCCTAGAGCCCCAGCATGCCCCATAAACCCCTATAGAGCCCCCGCTGCCCCAAACACCCCCAGACCCCCTCCTGCTCCTCCCTGCATTGGGAGCCCATGCCCAGGCAGCCAGAACCCCCCCTCCCCACACTGCACCCCACCTTTGCAGGGCCTGTTGTTCCCTTGCACAGCACAGTGAGGTGCAGCCGGGGGAAACTGAGGCACAGGGGCACCTCCCAGCCAGACGGTCACCCCACTCAGTGCCTCAGCTTCCCTTCCCAAGGAGGAATTCCACCCACCTCCCTCAAAAATCTGCACCACCACCATCCCAAGTGCCTTTCCAGCACAATGGGACCCCAGGTTGCTCTGCCCATGGATTTTGCTGGAAAAAAACACCTTTATTTTCCGAGATTTATAATCCCCTGGAGGCCCCTGATAGTGTGGCCCAGCTGCCAGCAACGATGGGACATCCATCAGCATCCTGCAATCCCACTGGGACCAGAGAACAAACCCCAGCAGTGCTGCAACCTCATGGAATCCCCCCAAAAACCAGGGGCAACATGAGCCTTCCCCCCAACCTCCTCCATCCCATGGGATGGGGTCGGACTCCTTCCAGGAGCCCTTTTTTCCTTATTCCCCACGGGGGATCTGTGATGGGGGGATTCTGGGGTGCCCAGCGAAGCCACCCCGAGTTCATTTCCGCTGTCCGGTTCCGCCCTGCGGCTCATCGGGACGATTCCTCGGGTCCGGATCCCGACAGATTATCCACGCGAGGCTGCTGGGCAAAATCCTGGCCGGGATGGAAGAGAGAAGCCAAAAAATCTCTCACCGTGGCCCTGGGGCTGCTGCCAGCCCTCACCCTGCGTGGCAGGGAGGTGTCCCCCCTCTCACCTGCCTCCAGCAGGACTCCAGCAGCACCCCGGAGCGCAGCAGGCACCAGAGCTCCCCCAGCAGAGACACGAAGACGTGCAGGATGTCGGTCCATCGGCCCACGGTGAGGAGGAGGATGAAGAGGCCGCCCATCCGCACCAGCACGGTCCGGAACGCCGACCCCCTGCCCGTGCTCTGCCGGGACTCCTCTGCGAGGACGCGGCATTGGGGAGCCACCGCGGGGACGCTGGGACCTCCGCAGCCCCACAACGGGGACACCAAGCATGGGGTGGCTTCATGGATAGCCCATGTAGCCCCTATACACCCCCAGGACAGCCCTTGTACCCCTTATAGTCCCAGGGTGCCCCAGGTACCCCCAGGACATCCCATGTACTCTCTGTACCCACCCAGTACCCTCTATGTACACCCAGGATATATATACACACACCCCCTACAGACCCCCAGGGTGCCCCATATACCCCTGTACACCCCCAGAATGTACCACATACCTCCTTACAGACCCCTGGCATGCCCCATATACCCCTATACACCCCCAGAATGTACCACATAGCCCTTTACAGACCCCCAGGATGCCCCATATACCCCTATACACCCCCAGAATGTACCACATAGCCCTTTACAGACCCCTGGAATGCCCCATATACCCCTATACACCCCCAGAATGTACCACATACCCCTTTACAGATCCCTGGCATGCCCCATATATCCCTATACACTCCCAGAATGTACCACATACCTCCTTACAGACCCCTGGCATGCCCCATATATCCCTATACACCCACAGAATGTACCACATACCTCCTTACAGACCCCTGGAATGCCCCATATACCCCTATACACCCCCAAAATGTGCCATATACCCCTTTACAGACCCCTGGCATGCCCCATATACCCCTACACACCCCCAGCACATACTATATATACTACCTATACAACCTAAGGACACCCTGCATACCCCCAGTACACCCCATATACTCCGCACAGGCTCCCAGTCTGCCCCTATACAGCCCCAGGTGGGGGTGTACACCCCAGTGGCCCCACACACCCCGAGTACATCCCACAGGCCCCTCGGAGCCCCCCGTACCCTGCATGTAGGCGACCAGCAGGGTGTAGCAGATGGTCAGCGGGGTCCAGAAGCGCACGGCCTCGCCCGTGGAGAGGAAATCGCGGTTGATGAGCTCCACGGCCGCCAGGTCGGCCACGGCGAAGGTGATGGCCAGGGCGCTGCGCAGCAGGCGCGGGATGCCGTGGCCCTTGGCCAGCAGCAGGATGCAGACGCCGCAGTAGCGCTGCCGGCTGTGCAGCTCGTACAGGGCGCAGACGTGCCGGGCCAGGCGCCGGGCGTGCAGCGCCAGCAGCCCCGCCAGCCCCGCCGCCAGCGCCAGGTTCCAGCTGCGGTGCGGAGCCCCCTCCAGCAGGAAGCTGAGGCCGCAGGACACCCCGCAGCCCAGCGAGTACTGGCACAGCAGGTAGAGCTGGCTGCTGCGGGCGCCCTGCAAAGCAGCGGGGGGGTCATGGGATCCTGCAATCGGTGAGGATGGAAAAGATCTCCAAGATCAATGAGCCCAACCGTTCCCCCAGCATTGCCGTGTGCACCTCTACTCATGTCCCCAAGCGCCTCGTCTAAACACTTGTTGAACCCTTCCTTGGACGATGACTCCAGCACTGCCCTAGATAGCCTGTGCCAGTGCCTGAGCACCCTTCCCATGAAGGATTTTTCCCAATATCCAATCTAAACCTCCCTTGGCTCAGCCTGAAGCCGTTCCCTCTCCTCCTGTCCCTGTTCCCTGGCAGCAGAGCCCGACCCCCCGGCTGTCCCCTCCTGGCAGGAGCTGTGCAGAGCCAGAAGGTCCCCCCTGAGCCTCCTTTTCTCCAGGTTGAGCCCCTTTCCCAGCTCCCTCAGGCTCTCCAGACATTTCCACCTCTGGACACTCCAGCCCTTCAATGTCTTCCCACAGAGGTCCCAGAACTGGAGGTGTCCCACCAGTGCCAGCACAGGGGACAAGCACTGCCCTGGGACTGCGCCCACACTGGGACCAGCCAGGGCCCATTGGCCTCTTGCCCACCTGGGGGACACCTGGCTGAGGTGCAGAGGGACACATGGCCACCTCCACCTACAGCCCCTCCATCCCCCGTGGGTGCTGAACAAACCCCCAGTTTCCCAGCTCCATCCACAGCGTGCCTCAGTTTCCCCCGTGCCACCTCACCTTGCCGAGGGAGAGGATGGTGGAGACGGCGCGCAGGGAGAACTCCAGCACCACCAGAGCGGCCACGCGGGAGCCCACCAGGGCCAGGACCGGCGTCAGCACCAGCACGTGCAGCGGCTCCAGCAGCGGCCGCCGCGCCGCCATCGCCTCCTTCTCCGCCTGCCTCTCGGGGTTGCTGGGGACAGCAGGTGGGAATGCTGAGCCAGGGGATGTCACCCGAAATAGGGTGACAAACCTTAGTGACATCCCCCTCGGTGCTTTGCAGCAGAGGCTGCAGCCCCTGCCCTGCACCCCTCGGTGCCAAGAGCCACGGCCCAACAGCAGATCCCAAAAATCAGATCCCCAAAACCAACCTGCCCCAGGGGACAAAGGGCTGGTGCTTACTTCACACACTGGATGTAGAGATAAACCTTCAGGAGGCTGCAGAGCACCGAGACGGCGCAGGCGCCCACCAGCCCTGCGGGGAAAGGCAGCAGTGGGTCACTGGTGTCCCCTGGGCTGTCCCCAGGCCACCCTCGGGGATCTCACCTTGCAGGAGTGCATCCAGCAGTGCCCAGCCCCACGCCAGCCCAGGAAACGCTGGGAGCCAGAACCCCAGGGAAAACATTTTCGGTGGAGAGGAGCCACAGTATAGCCCGGCCCCGGCTCCAAGGTCCACGGGGTGGAGGCGGGGAGTGGCCCCCCCCAGCTAGTAAATCATTATTAGGGGAAGCCAGGGCAGCTGGAGCCCTGGCTGGATGAGATGAGCTCCAGCTGCCCCGTGGAGGTGAAAATTAGGAGATGAGGGATGTGATGCACATGGAGGGGCTCAGGGACCACCAGCACCTTTAACCTCCCCCCACGACAGCATTGCCATTCTCCTCTCCACCCTGAGGCATTGCAGTATTTCAGGTCTTGCCCCCGCTTCTGCACCACCCCAAAGACCCCAGGACAACACCAAAAATAGAAAAACCTCTTTATTAACATCGGTGGTGGTGCTGGCAGGAGTCTGTCCTACAGCCCTGGGGGCCGCTAGTGCTGAACCATGTTCCTGAGCTTGTCCCAAAAGAAAAGGCTGAGGACGGTGTGGGGACCGAGGCGGAGGTAGACGGCGCCGATGCCCTTGTACAAGCCCAGCAGCCCCTCTTTGCTGGAGATTTGCAGGATACAATCCAAAAAACCTCGGTAGAGCTTGCCCTGGGGAGAGAGGAGCCAGCTCTGCACCCCTGCCGGGTGCAATCCTGGGAAAAGCCGCGTGTCCCCTGTGCCGTACCCGGAATGGCCTTACCGTGCCGTCGGCGTCCACCGGCTGGTTGTAGAGCCGCGTGCTGATCACGTCAAAAGGTGTCATTGTCACAGCCACAGCCACACCACTCACCATGCCCCCCGCCAGCACCGCTGCCCAGCTGCCCTTCCTGAACCACTGCGGGAAGCGCCGGCATCAGCTCTTCCCAACAATGAAGGGGAGCCCGGGGGGCCGGTGGCGGCCGGATCCGGCACACGTCCCGCTCACCTGGCGCTCGCAGACCCAGTCCTTGGCGGAGGCGAAGGTGGCGAGCTGCACGGCCGAGCCCACGGCCACGCGGGGCACGGCGCCCGACACCCCCCGCCACAGCCCCACCACCCCGTGCTGCTGGTAGATGCTCCTGAAAGCGCCGGAGATGCTCTGGAGAATAGAAGGAATCAGGGAAAATGGGAAAAATGGTGCATCCCACGTGGCCAAAATTTCCCACCCTGGCAGAATATCCCACCCCTGCTGGTGGTGACATGAAGCCACTATTGGCATTGGAGAGATCTCAGGGGGGTCTGGATTCTCTGGATTCGGTATCGCAGCCCCACGTGCCTGTCACACCCCCTCTGTTCTCACACTGTTATTTATAGCATCATTACGGGGCCAAGCAGCCAAACAACAGCTTTAAATTCCTGCTGACCAAAATAGCATCGTCCCCGCTGGGGCCCGGAGCGTGCACGGACAAGGTGCCACCAAACCCTCTGTGTCCCCTCACCCCACCCTTGTCCCCACTCACCTCATGGTTGTGCTGGTGGCCCACGGCCATGGCCGACAGTGTCTGGGCTTGGAGGTGGGTCTTGACCTTGGGGGGGGACAATGCCAGGTGACAAAACCCTCCAACGCCCCCGCTGGGACCGGCTGTGGTCCCCCCATCTTCTTGGCAGATTTTGAGGGGAAGTTTCAGCCCCTCCAACAGACGTGGGGGACACAGCTGAGCAGCCAAGTGGAAACTCCAGACTTTGAATCCCGTTCCTTTTACCCCTCTCACCTGGGGCAAAGGGACCCTGCAAACACCCACTGCTGGAGCTCTGCAACCCCAAAAAACTGGAGAAACCCTCTAAAATGGGAGGGGGGAAGCCCCACAGTTTTGGGGATAATTTCCTTATGAGGGAGTTCTCTGCTGGTTTCCTGAGGGGGATTTGGGGGAGAAAGCAGGGGAAGAGCATGCACAGCGCGACCCCACATTTTGGGGGTAGTGGCAAGGGATGAAGCAAAACAAGCTAAGCGGCGGAAGAGAGAATGCACCCAGCCAGCGTTTATAGGATACAGCCAAGATGCCGAACCTTTTGGGGGCCCCCCAAAACACCCCTTGGGGCGGAGCAGCACTCACCAGGTACGCGGGGCTGCCCACGATGGCTCCCACCGCCCCGGCCACGGCCCCGGCGGCCACGGTCCCGCCGGGATACCCGGTCCAGCCGGCGTCCTCGGCGTGGGAATAGCAGTAGAAGCGGACGCCGTTCATGAGCCCCTGGTAGAGCAGCCCGGCCGCCAGCCCCTTCTGCAGCCCCCGCAGCCCGTCCGCCCGGCACACGGCCACGGCCGCCCGCAGCACCCCGCGGTAGGGCCGGGGGTACGTGCCCGGGGGCTGCAGCTCGCCCTGCAGCTGCAGCCGCGTCTTCACCACCTCCAGCGGGTTGGTGAGGAAGCAGGCCAAGCACCCGGCCGTGGCCCCCAGCACCAGGTCGGTGGCCGGGGGCACTCCCCCGGCCGGGGGGCTGTTTTGGGGGGGGTACTGGAATTCCTGCAGGGAGTCGGCAGGGCGGGGGGCGAGGGTCCCCGCCGCCATCCGGCACCTGCCCGCGGGGGTGGCCCCGGGCTCCACCTTCCCGAACAACCGCAGGGAAAAAAATCCGGGGGGAGCGAGAGCGAGCGAGCGCCGCCTCCTGCACACCAACCCCCCCCAGTCCGGCCCCCAATTTGGGGAAGGGATGTGGCGCAAAGGTCGGGCCCGGGGATGCGTCTCCGGCCCCCCCACCCCGACACCGGCGCGGCCCCGGCAGCCGCGTCCAGCCGGGCCCGGTCTCACGTGATGGTGCTGCCCCGGCGCAAATAGGGAAAAGCAGGCAAGAAAAAGGGCGGTAACATTGAAATAGAAACGGAGGGAGAGGAATTTTGGGTCACCCCCGCCGCCCCAGCCAGCCTGGGGAGGAGGATGAGCCCTGGAGAACTCGCCGCGCTCGTGGCCGCGGTGCGGGGGGACTTGCAGGGAGGGTCTCGCCCGCCTCTCCCGGTGCTTTGAAATTGGAGCTTCCCGCGGAGAAATGCTGCGGGGGGTATGCCGGTGTCCCACCCTCCGCCGTGGATTCCTATTTTTGGGGCTGCGCAGGCACCCCCTGGGACCTCCATGGCCGAGGCACTGCGGTGCTGATGGGCAGGACGGGTGAACACCCCCATACACCAGACTCCTCCCCTGCCAGTGGCTGTGCCAGTCCCAAATCTCCCAACACTTTGGTTTTGATGTCAGAAGTCAAGGAGGGTTTATGGGGACAGTGGGTGATGCTGGTGGCTGGCCCCATGGCTATTTCTTTCTTTCCTAGACTGGACTAGATCTCCCCAATCTAGGGGACTGGGAATATCTCTTGGATCCAGAGATAAGCAAGGACAAAGCATGGAGACTCTGTGTCCTGATGGGTTGAAACCACAAACGTGTCCCACCGCAGGGTTAACACTGCTGGGATTCAGGGAGGAGCTGGAGGTGCACATCTTCCCCTCTTTTCATCCAAATCCCCTTCTGCCTGCCCAGAGCCATCCCACAGGCTCCAAAGTGATGGCAGGAGGAGCAGTAGCCCCAGTGGCAGAATCTGGCATAGGGCAAGGCTGAGTTACCAAGGTCTATTTATTTGGGGAGGGGGAAAAGGAAGCAGATGTATGTACATATACATTCAGTCACGTAAGTTTCCTCCCACAAAAAGGCCCCGTGAACTTATATTACATGAGAAGGTCTCCAGGTTATTATTATTGTTATTAATATTATTTAAAAGCTGGGGCTGTGCCCCAAAGTGCTCGTTGTGGAGCCCAAGTGGCGATGGGTCCTCACTGGCCTCGGATGCAGTGAGCTGAGGAGATGGGGACGTGTTTGGTGGTAGCCACCAATGTGACAATGTCCCTCAGGACACCTGAAGAACGTGGGACTCCATCTCTTCTCCCCAGTGCACAGGGTCAGCATTCAAACCACAAACCGGCCGCTGAGATGTCCTAAAACCATTTTTAAGCCAAATATTTGGCCCTGTTCCTTCTTCCTTAACCTCTTATCTCCTGGACAGGCTGAGAGTGGCTCAGTGGTGTCCGGATGCTCCAGGTGAACTCTCCAGGAGGTGGGGAGGTGCTGACTCCTCCTCCCAACACAGCGGTGATTGTATGAGCAACAAAACATGCACGGTGGCGATCGAGTGTTCCCACCTCGTCCCGACCCTGTTCGAGAATGAACAAGTCCTCAGTCCTGCTCCCCACCAGAACGGCGATGCTCGTCCCAGCTCACTCTGCTCCCACCCTCTCCCTCACTACTACTGGGACATTATTCTGTGAAAGGCAAATTATTTGCCTCGTGGCAGCTGGACAAGGAGGAAGGTGCAGGTGGTGAAGCGTCTGGCTGCTCCCCAAACCATTCTGGATGTCCCTGGCTCGGTGGAGAGCGCGGGGTCCACGCTGCAGGCATGGCCCTGGTGGGGACCAAGCGATGGCAGGAGGGTTTGGGGTGCCAGTTAGCCCAATACAGGCCCTGATCCCCAAAAATGGGCCCCCGTGAGCTGTCCTCCCCTGGGCAGGGTTAACACCAGGGGTCCCGCTCGGCCCGTCCCCGGCAGAGGCTGTCACTGCGCTGCCAGGCGCTGTCGATGAGGCTCTGGGCATCCTCGCATTTCTTCTTCACAGCAGCATCCAGAATGGCCTTGTGCTGGAGATCGACCTGAAACATGGGTGTGGGGAGTCAGGAGGGGGGACATCAACAGTCACGTCTCCCTCTTGCTGTAAAATCACCTCAAATCCACATGGGCAAGCAGCCTGTGACATGGTTATGGTGACAGCGGGGCTGACCCACATTCCTCCCACTCCCCTTGCCAGCCTCTGGGTGCTCATGGCTTGTCTTGCCAGGCTCTAAATCCCACATCCTGTGATTATATGGACCCAGAGGAGCTCCCTGGCTCTCCTGCCCTTTGTGGGACATCTGGGTTCACCCTGCAGGGACAAATTCATCCCTCTGCCCTCCCTCACTCGATGAGGGTGTGAGGCAGGCCCACAGGCTCACCTGGTAGATGTTCCTCCACGCGACATTCAGTGCTGACAGAAACCTCTCCAGTTCCGTAGTGCAACTAAAATACAGGACCCATGGGGGCAGGAACTCCTTGCTGTCCTGAGCAAACTCCTAAACCGAGAGAGGGGCCAGGTGTCAGCACTGGGTGCTCGCCCAGCCCCGGGCCGGGGGTCCAAAGCCCTGCCCTCACCAGGATGCAATACTCCTTGCCAGCCTCCGTGGAGACGGCGGTGACGTCGGTCAGCTCCGCGGTGCCCAGCGAGCGGAAGAAGCTGGTCTGGCAGTCCTCGTGGCACGTGAAAGCCTTCTCGTCCGTCAGCACCAGGCAGCAGGGAACGCACGGCGTCGGGGCAACGCCCTGGGGGATCACCTGCGTGGGGTGGGGAAGGGGGTAAAACCTGGCATGATGAAGCCCCATCTCCACGGGGTGGCCTGTGGGGAAACCCTCCTGGCTCAGGATAAAGCTGCCTGCTCCGTCCTGCCAGACATTCCTGCTCCCTTCGGCAGCGCCAAAGGGGCTCTGAGCAAAGGAGGGGGCTGAAGCACCCACGCTCGGGGCCTGTCCCCAGCTCACCCCTTTGGAGACAGCCTGGCAGAAGTACTGCATCCAGTCTGCCATGTCCTCCTCGTTGTCGGCGCTCAGCTCCAGGGAGGGCCGGTCCGTCAGGATCACCTGGAAGGAGTGGGGCCGGTCGGTGGTGTTGGAGCGCCGGCATCCCCCGCACTGCTCGCCGCTGGGAGAGAGGGGGAGGATGGAGATGAGCGGGATGGATGGGCCAGCAGGAGCCTGAAAACAGCCTCTGACTGCCCTCCCTGGGCAGCACCTCACCCCTGTTCCCAACAAACACTCATTTCCCATCCATGACATCCCCTGGGATTGCTCCATGGACCATCTCCAGGTTCCTGACATTGCAGGAGAGCTGGAGTTGAGCACAGTGGGTCTCCCAGAGGGCTGCATCACCCTTCAGAGGCCAAGGCCCCATCCAAGGAAGGAAATGAGCCCATTTCCAGTGGCATGCCCTGGAGCCAAAACAAATGGGCACCTGCCCCCAGGCATGAGCAGCTGGGATTCCTGCAGCACAGACCAGGTCATGATCCAGCCTGGAACTTCCCTCTGGACATCCCAAATAGCTCCTGCTCCCCAGATCCCCATGGAGTAGTCTGGGTGTTGTGTCCTACCAGCCACTCACCCCATGTTGATGGAGAGCAGAGGGGTGACGTCCGTGCGATCTGGGTACTGGTACAAGATCCCATTGCTGCCATTTGGGAAGATGAGAGAGGGGTAACCGGAGTCAGCCCAGCTCTGGTATCCCCTGCCTTTTGTCCCACACCCAGTCCTGCCCTGCCCTCCACCCCCACAGCCCTGTGGGGTCACATTCCTGCTGTTGGGCACTCACAAATGGTGGCTTTAGTCACCAAATTGGTGGCTTGGCCCCTTTAGGTGGGTAGATGAGTCCTCTCCACCTCCCAGGGAGCTCTCGGGCAGCAAACTGCTCCCAGCACCTTCTCCCAAGAGCCCTGTCCGACCCCAGCCCTGCCCCACAGCCCCAGTGCCCACCTGAGCACCACGAAGCAGGGCTTCCACTGCTCCTTGCCCAGGTAGGAGGTGCCTGCCTTGTAGTGCAGGACGCCGTCCTTGGTGATGGCGGGCTCTGCAGAGGAGCAGCTGCTGCTGGCAGGTCCCAGCGCCTCATCCATGGGATCCTCCCAGTGAACGAGGCCGTAGAAACGCACAACCACGTTGCAGGCCTGTAAGAACCAGGAGAAGTCAAGGGAGTCTCCTGTGAGCCTTCATCACCTGCAGTGATGGCGGTGATATCCAAACTCACCTCACACTTGGACTCCTGTGCCACAAACTTGGCAAGTGCCAGTTTCTCCATGGTGGCATCCGTGAGGATACTGGGATAAGGGGGCTCCCGGCACCCTTTGATCATGGCTGACTTCAAGGAGACCAGGAAGAACCTGAGAGGGAGGCAGAGATCTCTGACAAGGCTGGGGCAAACAGCCCCTTGTCTCCCCCATACACTCTGGTGCCCAAGGGGCTCCCCTTAACCATGGGCCTCTGGTCTTCCAGACCACAGAGTCGCAAAATCAACCTACAGAGCAAAGGTGACGGGAGGCTGCAAAGGAAACAGATGACACCGGGAGGTGCTCACTCATCCCAGCACAAATCCTTGTATGACCTGATGGTCACCTCCCCGAGCTGCCAGCACACACACAGACCTGGGGACAGGCCTTGGAGCTCATCCTTGGCATTTCCAGCTATCAGCTGGGTTCAGCCAGTGGCATCAAACCAGCCCCCAACCCCCTCACGGGTGCCAGGACTGTCGTGAAGGGCTGTCTCTGGAGTCTCCCACTGTCCCCAAGTCCAAGAATTCCGGAGTTCCACGCTCCAGTTCCCCACTCACTCAGTGAGAGCCACGTCGGCAGTGTCGAGCAGGAACTGCTTCCTCCGGTTGGTGCACACCAGGGTCACTGTCTGCTGATCCAGCCCAACCTGTGCCACACAGAATGGTTAGGAAGGCCAGGCACAGGATGAGGGGCAACAGAGCAGGGCTGACAGGGCTTCTAGCCCCAGGGAGAGGGCCAGTGGTCACTCTGCTGCTCATGCAAAGACATGAGCAAGGTGGGCACCCACAGAGGTGGCACTGGAAGGGGCATCACTGCCAGCTCTCCCAGTCTCAAAGGTTCACTGTCCAGAACACTCTCCATGGACATAAACACACCCTCACCCCTGCACAGGTGAGAGCTGCCCCCCTGGCTGGGCTCACCGAGATGTAATCCAGCTCGTTGTAGGACACGGCCTCCTCCACCATGTACGGCTTCTCCGCTGCCCCTGGCACAGACACAGACAGCCACATGAAGGGGGGCAAAGCACCCCCTCTGCAGCAGCAGCAATGCACCTGCAAACCAAACCATGGCCCAGGCAGCACAGAGCCACGGGACACGTGTCCCAGGGCTCCTGGGGGACTAGTCAATCTGAGCTCCTTGCTGTGACCATGGGACTCAAGGGAGCTGGCAGTGAAGGCAGTGATGGCCTAATTAATGGACAGGCCATGGATGGAGCCTCCCTCCCTGCCACTGAAGGATGAGATACCTTTCCGGATCAGGTACACATAGCAATCTGTCAGCAGGACGTAGATCAGCTGCAGGTTCCCTTCCATGTGCCCCGTGCTCATTCGGATCATCTGCATGGAAAGGAAGGAGCTCTCAGCCCTGGGCTGATGCAGGCACAGAGCTGATCCTTTGATTGATGGAGATCCCTTACCCTGAACAACTGCTCCTCGTTCTCCCGAAAGACGTGGATCATCAGCAGGAGGAGATGGTTGTTATCCACCCTGTGGAGAAAGACAGCAGAGGATGGACATGGATGTGAGGCTGGGTGAGTCCAGGAAGGGCAATCCCCTTCCTTGTTGAGCATGTCCATTATTTGGGCACTTGTTAGCTCCCCAAGGCTTTCTCTTCCTGACCCTTTGTGCCTCCTCTTCATCCTGGAGAAGGATGGGCTTTGCCCCCCAAACCGAGGACAAACAGAAAGGTGTCAACTTGAGCTCAAGATTGTTTTGAAGATGCTCTCCCTTGTGAGCAAACCCATCCTCACCTGAACTCGGAGGGATGTGTCAGCTCCGAGGGGCTGCCCTGCCCTTCCTCCACCCCAGAGTCCTCAGCGCTGCTCAGGGAAGGGCTGGGCTGCTCCTTCTTGGGCTCACAGAGAGCCTGCGGGTTGGTGGTTTCTGTCTGGCTAGGTTGAGGATCATCACTCGCTCTTTCAGACTCCTCTACTGCCCCAACTGCTTCTCCCTCTTTGCTTTCTTCTTCTTCAGGAGCCTCAGGGCTACTAGAAACATGTGGCGGTTGGCCAGGCCCTGGAGGGTCATGGTGGCCACCACCTGGTGCAGCAGTGTTTGGACTCTCGACGGTAAATCGGTAGAAGTCCATGGGGGCTGAAATCCCCTCGCTGAAGTCGCCAGAGGACGATCCATCTGGGGTCTCCCCTGGCGTGCCGGTCCGAAAGGGCTGCCCGGGGGGCTCCAGGGCGGCGTTCCAGCCCCCGGGGTCCAGCTGCCCGTTGAGCCTGTCCATGACCTTGCTCAGGGGCTGCCCCACGCTCTCCATGGATGTGTCCTTCATCTCGGGGATGCGCAGGGCCAGCGGGCCAAGGGCAGCGCGCTCCCCACCCTCCTCCGGCCCGCCCGGGGCAGCGGGACCCCCGGCCCTTGGCAGCTCCTCCCTGTCCCCCTCCCCGTCCCTCGGGGGCTCCTCCCTGTCGCTGAGCCCGTTGATGCCGCTGTCCCCGCTGGTCTCGGGCGCTGCAGGTGCTGGGTTGTTCACGGCCTCCTCAGGCTTCACTTTCTTCTTCTTGCCTGTCTTCTTCTTCTTGGCTAACCTGTGGGAGAGAAGAACGTCACCCACTGTGCCTGTTTAGACTCTGCAATACGCAGGGAGGTCCAACAACATTCCTTCACAATTTTCCCTATTGCAGACAAATCCTTCTAATCAGCAACATCACTTAGTGTGTAGCCGTGTAGAGCCCCCATCCCTGTGCCAGTTTTCATGAGACAAGGTATGGGCACTTTCTCCTACCTATCCTAGAAAGAGGTGTCACTGCTGACACAGCACCTTGGGCTTTCTTTCAGCTGTAAAGGGATCACAAATGGTTGTGGCACTGGAGTGATGTGGCTGAGATCAAGAAGCTGCGAAGGGAGAAGGTTTCTGGAGGTGGCAACACCGTGTCTCCACCGGCCAGGAGAGGGAGATGCAGGTTGGAGCACACCAGGATGTGCTGCAGGAGTGCTCTGGCACCTACAGCACCCAAACTGCTGCCAGGTCACCCCCGTTTGGGAAGTGAGCCCAGTGCTCCCCTTCCCTGTGTCTCCCATGTGGGATGATGTGCAAAACCCAGCTGCTCTGCTCCAGCACAGCCCTGCTGGGCGGGTTTGGGGAGTCCCCATCGATGGGTGTGAGCAGACAGAGCCTTGAGCTCTTTGTCTGGATTGAGGGCTCTGAGGGATCCCTTGGGGAATCTCCCCTGCTGGAGTCAAACACCCAAACCCCAGCCAAGAGCTCTGCAGAGGCATCTCCTGTGACAGGTTCGACCACAGCTCACTGACAAACAGGAGGAGGGGCAGGATGGGAGACAAGAAAGATCCAAGCCCCAGAGCTGCTGCAAAGCTGCCACCAGCTGGAGAGAGCTCCAAATAAACGCTCACGGATTACTGTGAGCCCTCTGTCGCACACTGGCAGGGAAAGGGGGTGATGTGGAATCTGCCCAAGGGACCCAGCCCAGCCCCACGGGGCTGAATAAAGGCTGCAGCGCACAGACCGTCCTCGCTGGGATAGAAGAGGTGGCGCATCCTCAACAAGAGGTGCCGCCTCTTCCGAGGCCAGCAGCTGTGTCCCTACCTGATGACCTCCAGCTCTGTGCAGCTCTCGGACTGGTCTGTTCCCTCGGGGGTGGCCTCTGCCTTGTCCCGGGAAGCCGCGTGCACCGGCGTGGTGTCGGCAGAGGATGGCACCTCGGCCCTGTCCTCGTTGAAGGGGTTGTGGCGCTGCGTGGGGCTCCGAGCCGCGGCCCTGCCGCCGTTGGCCTCCGAGGCGGCAGAGCGCGGGCAGCTGAGCGTGTCCGTCAGGTCCCCGTCTGCAGGACAGGATGGAAGAGAGGATCAGCGCCGGCTCGGGCTCCTGGACACAGCCAGATCAAGCCAAGCCACGCACCGGGGGCTCGGGGCACTGTGTGGGCACCACGCCACTGGCAGTGCCAGCAGCTCTTGGTGAGGATGGACAGGGAGGCCAGTGTGAGACCCTGCACCCCCTCTGCAGCTCAGAGAATGACTGGACACAACAGAGAGCAGAGGTGGTGTCTGTGGAAGCAGTCTGAGGGGTCCTGGGGCCACTGCTCCTGAGCAAGGTGACAGCAAGCCACGAGGCTGCTGCTTCTCCCCTGCCATGGCCACGGGAAGGTGCCTGCTCAGCTGGAAGGGCAGACATGGAGCCAAGCCCATGGAGCAGCAATCCTGATGGAGCTGGATGCTCTGCTCTGCTCACATGAGATACACATGGGGGCTGGAGCGTGCTGGAGAGGGGACACAGCATTCAGCAGGCGGCACAGACAGGGCAGAGCACAAACAGCTGGGCCCGTGTTAGTCTTCAGATGGAAAAAGAGCAGTGGAGAAGGGTTGCAGGAGTCATGCTTGGACTATTATTAATCCAAAATCACAGTTAAAGGAAAGTTATCCATGCCCTTCTCTTCTCCAGCACCATTCCTGGTCTAGTGGAAGGTGTCCCTGCCCATGACAAGGGATTGGAATGAGATGATCTTTAAGGTCCCTTCCAACCCAAACCATTCCATGATTCTGATTCCTTTCCACAGTCAGCTAAAAAGGCACCTTGGGAAGAGAACCACAGCCCTGGCAGACTGATTTGGAGTGTAGGATTTGAGGAGGAAAATGAAACCTCTTGTAAAACTCTAACCCAGCCAGTTCGTGCTGCATGATTTCAAAACTCCACTTTGTTCTCACTGAAAGAGTGGCCCTGGAGCGGGGAGAGTGTGAGCTCTACCAGGGAAGTTAATCGGGTTTTAAATCCTCAAATTCAGAGGGATCTGCCTTCCCCCAGCATCCCTGGGCTTCAGCCTCCACCCAACACTCCCACTGGAGCTGCTGGCTGCACCCTGGGTTTGGAAATCTGGTTTGTACCCTATAGAAACAGGTTAAACCACCTTTGTGACATCCCTGTGCTTGGGGTAAGAAAGAAAGTAAGAGGGAGCGTGTTAGAGCCCGAGAGCAATCCACATGGAATTCAGGCAGATTTACCCAAATAGTCCCCAAATATTTGGGTGCTTCCATCAGGCTCCATCCAGCTTTGAGCTGCAAATGATGGAGTGTGGGTGTGTTTCCTCTGGGGGTGAAGCAGAGAGGATGCTGCTCCAGTGGAGGACATGCACAGGGGCTGCATGCAGAGGAAGAACAAATTCCTTTAACTGGGCAAGTCTTCTTGGCCAGAGGTAGCTGGTAAGTGAGTTTAACAAGTGGTAAAATTCATAAAAATAACAAATGTAGTGACCTAAACTGAGCATGGCCATGTGCTGGATATTCTGGTTTCATGGGAGAAGTTTTGACATGGGACACAATGATCCAGGGAAAACAAAACCTCCCAAACTAATCCCTGCAAAATGCCCAAAATTAAAGGCAGCAGAATTACTTCAGCTGTTTTCCAGGGCTTTCAGGAAACCAATGATAGTGGATCATTTTTTCAGTCAGCATCTTGTGTGCTTTACCCCAAAGAGGAAATCCATAGCATGAGGGCAGCTGGCACATCCCACATTTTGAGCCTGTATGGAATTCCATCAGGACAGGGCAGTTGGTTGTTAAAGAAACAAACATGGGAACATGCAGCAAGCTCAGGGGGCAGCAATGCAGAGAGAAAACAAAAATGCTGTAAGAGATGAGTGTGTCCCACCTTCCCAGTCTCTACTGGGCATGGTCTGCATTGCTGGAAAGACATCTCCAAAATCATAATCTACAAAAATGAGGGATAAAACTCAGGATTAGAAATACAGGTAGTGAGGAGGGAAGTGGGGAGAGGGGAAAGTGTGAAGGGGATTTGGGGAGGGAGATGGGAATGGGGAGAAACAAAACAATTGCCCACTGGTATCTGAAACACAAGAGAAAATAGGGAATGTGGATGTGAATGGAAACCAGCTGCACTAATGGTTGTTCCTTCTGGAACAACCAGTGTTATGGGAGCTACAAAGGGACCAGGGAAGGGTGAAAGCCCCATTATTCAAGCTGCTGGGAAGCTAAACCAGATAAACAGTGTCACCTAGGACTTGATCCTCTCTGGGAAGCCATTTAATTTCTCTGCACCTCAGTTTCCCACTTCACACTTACCTCCCATAGATATTGTGATGTTTGACTCATGAATGTTTGCAAAGCCAGGGATCTGATTAAAGGGGAAAACTTGTCCTCTGATCCTACAATCCCCAGTTCCACCTACACTCTCAGGGTAGAGACATGCTCCTGTTGAAATGATGAGCAGGGTAATAGTTACAGGGGAAAGTTAAATTCCTCCACACCAGAGGAGCAGCAGCAATTCCTGACCTCCTGGGTCCTGGTCCAGCATTCCTATGTCAGCACCAAATCCCTCTGTGCATGGGGAGACTGAGACACAAGAGCACAGCCACTGCCTGGACACATAGGCTGAGATGATGCCAAACCCAAAATCCATCTCCAAAATCTCCTGAATCTCTACTCCAAAGCCCTCTTTTCTTGAGCTTTAAGCAGACAACCACCAGAAGGCTGGGGACACCCAGTGATAGGGACAGGTAGGAGATGTCTGGCACAAGACATGCTCTGCTGAGGGAGGAGCAGGAATGCAAACCCAGAGGTGCAGCACAACAGCTGCTTATGTCAAATCTCTGGGGACAGAGAACCTCCCTCTGTGATTTCTATTTCTAGGTTCCTTGTGCTGTCTCCAGCTTCCCTGGGACACTGGAGATTTGGCATGAGTAAGTCCCTAAAATCAAACCCTTTCCTGAGTGCAGATTTGGTGAGACCAAACCAGTGCTGTGCTTCCAAGTCCTTTGTTAAAACAACTCCAATGCCCATCCCAGGCTGCTCATTCTCAGCATCTTTAATACCTGCAGGCTCTGTCTTGCTCATAAAAGGCAACTGGTGACTCTTGTCTCAAGGAAACCCATCTGTGTGTGGGCTCAGTCCCAAATTCCCTGCATCCATTTAACAGTTCATTCCAATGCAATTCTATTCCACAATCCCTTTTGCTCAAACTGACATAAAAACCAAGACAGGGCCAATGCATTTTGGATTAGGAAGAGAGCTCCCTGCTCTGGGTGCAGCAGATTCATGGTGCAGACACAAGGTACATGTCTGCCCAGGTCATCAGGAATAACATCCAGCTTCTCTGAAAGGCTAAGGGGGTGGGTAAGACAATTTATCAGGCTGCTCAAGATGTATCAAGAGGAAAAACCAACACCTCTGAGACCACTGGCTATCTTTCTCCCAGACTGAAGACACAGAGGAGACTCAGGAAACTACTCCCCTGCACATGTGCATCTGTGGACTGTGAAACAGTTAAAAACCTCCCCTGCAGCCCTGTGTCCCTGCTGGCCTGGAAGCCACATTCAGATACAGGACTGGCCTTTACTCTCTGGGGAGAGTCCTCCAGTTCTTGCTAAAACCCCCAGGATGGGAATGTGGCCTGGGGTGCCTGCAGGGAATGTCCTTCTCTCCCAGTCTGAGGCATAGAATCAGCAGAGAATGGTTTGGGTCGGGACCTTAAAGTTGACCTAACTGCACCCTCTGCAATGGGCAGGGACACCTTCCACTATCCCAGGAGGCTACAAGTCCCATCCAACCTGGCCTTGGACACTTTCAGGGATCCAGGGGCAGCCACAGCTTCCATGGGCACCCTGTACACCTCTGGGCACCTCACCACCCTCACAGGGAAGAATTTCTTCTTAATACCCAATCTAAATTTCCCATCTTTTAGTCTAAAACTCTTAGTTTAAACCTATTTCCCCTTGTCCTGTCTCCCAAGGATGTAAGACAGGACAGACTCCCAGCCTGGCTGCTGGGTCTCCTGCTTTGGTCTCTTCCAGTCTAAAATCTGCTGCCTTATCTGAAGGGGATATGGGAAGAACACAGCCCTGTCCACACTGTCCTCAAAACCCACTGACCCTCACTGGATGGAGCAATGGCACTGTCGTCCCATTCCAGGTTGGTGGAGGTGACAGAGTTGAAGGAGTTGAGGGAGAGGCTGTCGGAGCCGTGCACGGAGCTGGGCAGGCGCTCCTCGAAGTCCAGCAGGTGCTGAGGCTTGTAGTAATCCGGCATGTACGGGGCCAGATCCAGGTATGGAGCATCCTGCAGGGCAGGGAACGTGTTCAGAGTCAGGCTCCAGTGTCACTGTTACTGGCACAGCTGGGGGGGAAATGCCACCCCATCAAAACGGTGGGAACTGCCCCTTGAAGGTCCCTTCTCAGTGTCCATCTCAGAGAAAACCCAGCAGTTTTACCAAGGGTTATCCTGTGGATTTGTATTTTCTGGAGGGACACCGGGGTTTTGTATCACACTTGCAGAGCTCAGCTCCTTTATCCCCATCAATCTGCCCTGCAGCTGCCTTGCTTCTCCTCCAAACAGTGAAGAACTGAGCAACAGAAATAAATCCCATTGCTGGATCCCCAAAGACCTAAAAGTCTTTCCCAAAATCATCAGCATCACGTTTCCAGCAGAAGATCCACCCTGGTCTAAGCAGAGGGATCTGTCCCACCCTGGACTTCCCCTGCTCCACATTCCCACTCTTCCAGAGCCAGGAAAAGAGATCAAACACTCACCAGGTCCAAATCAAAGCGGATGAATTCCAGTCCAGACACCAGTGTTAAGAACAAGGTCAGATGGTCGTGACTGCAGACCAGGGCGTTCCTGCCGCAGGGAGGAACAAAAGAGCTTTACAGATGAGGGAAAGAGGAGGAGCAGCTACAAGGGCCCTTCTGTTTCCTTGGGGCTGCCATAGATCAGCCCTGGAGCTGGCAGCCCACTCCTTCCCTCTGTGGGCAGCCACTATGTGCTGTCCACAAACTGAGCTACAGCCACATTTCCAAGTGTCCAGCAAAGCTGGGTGCCTGGACAAGAGCTTGGAAATAATGGAAAAATATAAAGGGGACTGCAGAGTAAAAGCAGGAACTAGGAGAAATGTTTGCAAGGCCTCATAGAGATAAGAGGACAATGTGTTCACATCTAGGACCTTTAAATTAACCACATAAATGCCACAAGGAAAAAAATCAAACCCTGATCAACTGCTTGTCCCCCGCTGGCAAATTCAGGCTGGCTTCTGACAAGGAGGGATGTCAAATGCTGCCCAAAGAAGGAGCTGGGATACTCACTTGACATAGTACTTGTGCAGCAGGCTGAGGTTCTCCTGGAACAGCCTCAAGTAGCTCTCCAAGGAATTTTCGTTGAGGGCAAGGTATAGCCAGGCCCGGCCTGGAAGCAGAGCAGCAGAGAGATTTATCTGGAAACACCTGAGAAGTAACACAAGCCTAGAAATAGTCATTAATTACTTAAAACCCCTCAGATCATTCATTCTTATCATTTGAGGGGAGCAATTATGAGGGAAATACGCAGGGGGAAATGACATTGAGAGATTAATGATTTGGAGTAAAATTGGTGAGAGACAGGAGAAGTAGCCACACAGCTGTGTCTCTCCAGCAAAATGGGAGCCCTGTCAGCAATGACAGGAGATGGGAGAAGCAGAGGGAGAATCGCTGTGAATCAGCCCAGGTGAGATTTGACACAAATTCTGGTGCAGAGAGAGGTGACATTAGAGCCTGTGCTCAGCTCTGCTCTCACCAGCACAGGCCCAGGACAAAGCAGCTGTTTGGAAAAGCAGGCACAGAGGATCTAGGCACGGTCCTGTGTCAAAAGTGGCCTCGATCATCCCAAACATCTGCTATGGACAACTCGGAGCAGGGAAAATGCAGAATCACACACATGACTGCTACAGCAAGATGTGGGGTGAGAGGGGATTCTCCCATCTGCCAGGAAACCTTCCCAAGGGCATGGCCCCACAGAGCTCCCATCTGCCAGGAACCCTTCCCAAGGGCATGGCCCCACAGAGCTCCCATCTGCCAGGAACCCTTCCCAAGGGCATGGCCCCACAGAGCTCCCATCTGCCAGGAGCCCTTCCCAAGGGCATGGCCCCACAGAGCTCCCATCTGCCAGGAACCCTTCCCAAGGGCATGGCCCCACAGGGCTCCCATCCTTCCCAAGTGCTACCCTCTGCAAGGAACTCTTTCTGAGGTCATGGCCCCACAAGACTCCCATCTGTCTGGAACCCTTCCTGAGGGCACAGCCTCTTGGGTTTCTGGACAGCAGAAGCCAGGCTACACCTCAGTGCCTGACCCTGAAGCATAGTGACATTATTTCCAGAGACCTCACACGGTCATGGCAGGACTCCCACCTCCTTGGCACAGGCTGCCCAGGGAAGTGGTGGAATCACCATCCCTGGAAATGTTCAAACCACATGTGGATGTAGCCCTTGGGGATGTGGCTTAGTGGTGGACATGGCAGTGCTGGGCTAATGGTAGGACTCGATGATCTTAGAGGTCCTTTCCAACTTTAATGATTCTGTGATTCCTTTGCCCGCAACCTGGATTCCAATGGCTCCCTCGATCTGCCAGCAGCCCCAACTCCTCAGCACAACCTGGGCCTCCCCAAGTGTCCCCAAAGCCAGAGCTTTGGGGGACACTGTGAATACTCACTGCGTCCCAGGTTGGTGGCCACGTGCTGCAGCACTTCAATCTGTTTGATGGCTTCCCGGCGTGTGAAGTGAACCACCAGCACCCAGTACCCCGAGGAAAGATCTTGCAGTCTGGAGGAAGAAAAATCCCAAAGGAAAATTAAGCAAAAGCTTCATTATCTCCACCCCAATCCCTGCCTAGATGCTTTCCCCATGCTAAGGCTCCACACCAGGCTTTTTCCATGGGGAAGAGCAGCATCCCAGAGATGGGCTCCAGGCTCACCCGTACAGCAGAGCGTGGTCCAGGTGTTCACAGAGCCTCTGCAGGACCTTGTCATGGTTTCTGATGGCCGGTGTCTCATCTTCACAGGCAGCAAAGTAGCTCTGCAGCTGCAAAAAGAAGGGATGAGATGGCTGGAATGGCCTTCTCCAGCCCACAAGGAGCAGGTAGAGGTGCCAAAATGCTCATATCCAGCACTGAACAGTTTTTTGTGATCTCTCAGCTTCCTAAGCCCTGTTGCAGGTTTTAGTTACAGGGTGTAGCTGTACCCTAAAGGCAGTAACTACAGGGAGACCCTTGCCCAGAGTCCCCACATCTCACAGCCCAGCAGTGCTGTGGTGGCTGCACAACCAAGTTCCCTCATGGTGAGCAGCCTCTTCCCTACCAGCCAACACAACAGCAGGGTCTGGAGGTTCCTCTGCAGCCACCACAAAGTGGTTCAGAGCAGAAATAAACCCCAGCTCTGCTCTGTTTCTGGCTCTGACATGGATGAGGCCTGTCCTCAGTTTGGCTAGAAATCCTAGAAATCCCCTTGGACCCAAATCCTGAATCCTTTCCCAGCTGACCCACAGGCCTCCTCCTGCCCCCAGAGCTTAGGGATCTATTTAGGTCCTGTCTCACACACTCTCCATCCAGGCAGGGAGATTACTCTCCTGGGATGTAATCTCAGCTGGACAGGCCATGGCTGTTTGCTGGCAATGCACATGAACAGCTCAGCTGAGCCACAACAATATTAGAGACAATATATATGTTATTTTAGTGACCTGACATGTCTTTGCCAAACCCCACTAGATCATAGATGTGTAAAACCCAAAAACTTGACATTACTGTGCTTGTCAAGTCCCCCAAAACAGGTTTCTCCTCCAGAATCATTACTAGAGAAGCTCCTTCTGGAAAAATCATCCAGTCTTGATGTGCATTTACCCAGGGGTCAGAGAACACCCCGGGGTCCCTGGGAACTGATCCCAACAGCACTTTTAAGAGTATGAACATATCGAGTTCCAACACCCTGAAGACCTTGAATCCCCCTGGAGCTCTTAGGTAAGATGGCAGAGCCGGGCGTGTTCCTGCATGGAGCTGGTCCCAGCCCTTAAGTGAGAGAAAACTGCTGAGCCTGGAGAATGACAGCCAGAGCTCCCTGCCCGATGGCACAGCCCTGCTCTGCCTGTCCCTGTCCCTGTCCCAGCAGGTGAGTCCCCTGGGGAAGCAGATACACAACCAGGTGATGATTGCAGAGGCACCTGTGGGTGTTCTGGGCATCCTCAGGGGCTCTCACAACACCCAGGTGAGACCTGGAACATTTCAGCTCAACTGCACCTATCCATTTCTGGGAGGAAACTTTTCCAGAAGATTCCCAGTATTCATAGGCAGCCCAGACTGACACAGAGAGGAAAATGCCCCAAAATCCCACTATTTAAGAAAAAATTCAGGAGGTACTTGCAACCAGTCTTTGAAGCTGCAGCAAGAACACCAGAGGAAGAAATAAATCTATAATTTAGAGCCATATCCCTCAGGTGATGGATAGATGAAGTCATAGGGATGATCTCCAAGAGTTGGAGCTCACTAGACTATCCCATTTTTGAGAAAACTGAGGCAGAAGCAAAGATCTCACAGGACATGAGCCAGCACTTGAAGGCAGAAATTCCCAACTTGTCCCAGCCAGGCTGTGGGCTCTGCAGGGAGCTGGGGTGCCCTTGGAGGAGGTTCTGGGTGTTTCTGCAGCCTCTGTGCTGGATTGGGGAAATGCAGCTGTGGGGAACAGCTGAGGGAAACAAGAATAAATCAAGCATTTTGTTAGCTCACCACTGAATAAAAGGAGACACAGCTTGGGGAGGTCTGTTTGGAGGGAACTTGGAGCCTGTCTGTGCCTCTGACTGGAGGAATTCCTCGTGACAGAGACACTCCAAGCCTGGGCAGCAAAAAAGATGAGGAAATAGAAGTATTTCCTCTTTTTTCTTTCCTCCTTTCCCCCAAAATAACTCAGAACTTCGTCATGCTCCTTCCTGCAGTCAATGCACAGCTCCAATTCCTCTCCATGGACTGATCCGCTCCTGTCATCCAAGGGTGCAAACTATTAGCAAATGGCAGCTGTATCCACCTCAAAAATGGATTTCTCTTCCTTGGAAAATCCCAATCTTCCCCCAGGAAGGGGTTTAGGTTTTGAAGGGCTCGTTCTATGTTACACCAAGGGCTGGTGTCCCTTTTAGCTGCTCTGCAAGGAGAACTGAGCCTCCTGCTCTGCACAAACCAGCTCTCCCTGCATCCCCCTTCCTGGGAGGCTGCTGGAAAACCTGGCCCCATGGCCATACCACAGCAAACCCACCCCAAAAGGCTCAACCTGTGGCACATCAGGGACCACATGATGGGCTGCTGTGACTGCTTTGCTCAGTCATGGGGTCACACCAGCCCAGAGGGTAGGAAACACGTGCTCAGCAGTTTGGGATCGAGATTCTGGCACTCCGAGTCACGGCCCTTGAGGAGCTGTGGGTCACAGGGAAGCCACAAGGGCTCACTCCCACTGAGATGTGCCACCATGTCCCCATACAGCGCTGCACCCAAGGACGGTGCCATCCCCAGCATCTCTCCAAAATAAACACCAAAGGCTTCCCGTGCTTAGCCAAGGGCAGGCACGGCTCACTGGAGCACAAATCCCAAAAGACATCAGCCATGTGAATCCCTGCCCAGTTACCCTGTCCAGGGAGGAAACAAGACACAGCAAGCCTTGGGATCTCCTGGGTGGAGTCATCCCTCCAGCCAGGGTGGGGAAAGACTTGCAAAAGCTGATGGGGAGGTGCTTCTGGCTCAGGAAGAAGGGTGAAGACACACAGAGAAAATTTAGGATGAAACAGCTTTCCCAACTGGAAAACAAATTCCAGCTGCACTGTTTTTCAAAGATCCAATGCCTAGATTTGTAGAAATTTGTAGAAATCACAATGAGCATAATGAGGGATGATCCCAGCACCTGCCTGAGTGCAGTAATAGCAGCAGTGATGTGGCACTGCCCCAAAAAAATGGCATTTAATAGAGTGTTTATGTGGAGTCTCCTGTAGGTTGTTATAAAACACACATGGATAATTGAACCAGCCTTTCCCTCCACAGTCAGACCTGTCTGGGAGGTGGTGACCAAACTTCATGAAGCATCCACAAAGCAGCTTCCTGACACAGCAATGTCACAGCAGTGAGCTGGGCTGGAGCCAGGGAGATCAGGAAGGAGGCAAATAATTGGGTCAAAAGCACCATCCCTGGGTTTCCAGAGAGATGCTTTTCCCCTCTTCTCCTCTGTGCCTCAAATCCAGAAGGAAGGGCTGAAGGCTGGCTCGGATGGAGGGCACAGCAATGCCTGGAGCCCCGACCCAAGGCTATTTATAGACATTCCTGTGGCCAAAAGAAGCCCTGCTGGCATGCAGAAGGCATCCCAGCCATCCATCCACTGGGACCACTCCAGAGCCCCAGCCAGGTCTGAGCACCAGCACTCCTGGGACAGAACCTGCTCAGGGAGAAGGCCACAACAGCCCAGCCATGAGCTGAACACACCTGGGAGAGCAGGTGTTTGTCCAACAGGAACAGACCTGGCTGCCACTGGGAAACACTTGCACCTCTTCCCACCGAGGAGGAGGATTTAATTGCTGTTTATCAATCACAAGTTCATTTTTCTAGCAGTGACACACCCCACCCCACACTGGCAAGCATGAGAGAGGCTCTTCCTTGCACAATTTTATAACCTATTACTGCAGCGGTTCTCAATGAGTGTGAACATTTCCAGGCTGATCTGCAGAGCTCCTGTGTTGCAAGGGAAGCCAACAAATAATCAGGGAGGTGCTGTTGAAAGCCCATTCCCAAATCTAATCATTCTTGTGGTGGTTTTGAAATCCCTTCAGTAATTCTAAAAATGCAATGGAATACTGAAATAGTCTCCTGACCTGTTCAGGGCTGGTCACAGCTCAACTGAGTTCACATTTTCCCTCTGTAAATCTGCCCTGCAGATGTTTCACCAGCAGCTTTCCAACATAATTCTATTTCATTTGTTCTGCTTGGTATTTCCCTGGCAGGACAAACAGGGTGGAAGAAGAACAAATACCCTTTGCATTCCTCAGCTCCTTAACTGGGATGGGAGGGATGAGAGGTGCTTCAAAAGCCCTCATTCCCACCCACAGCACATGGACTGAGGTGAGGGGTTTGCTCCAGCTGGAAGAGCTGAGCACCCTCAGAAGCAATCCTGGAGCTCCAGAGAGCACAAGAAAGGGCAACTGACCTTGTCCAAAGCAATGACAGCTCGAGGGAAGACACACAGGAAGGCCAGGACAGACACCTCAGAACTGACACTTTCACACCTGCTCAGGGAGTACAACAGCAAATGGATAAAGAGGAGGCTGAACTCCTGTGCCTGGAAAAGTCCTAGTTTTCCATACCATCCATAAAAGCAGGCTGAATGCCATGGCAGGAGCATTAGTCTTCCTCACACACTTGCACAACACAAAGCCCTAAAACTCCAGCTCTAGCAGGACATTTTGGAGGTCACACACATGATCTGACTCAAAACTCCTAAAAATCAGCACTGGCCTCAGCTCCCAGATTCCCACTTCATGCACCTCACCTTGATCTTGGGGTTTTTTCCAGAAAAACTCACCAGGCACATTCAGAGCATCAGCACTTGGAAGGTACCACGAGTGCCAGTAGAGCAACCTGGAGATGTAGAGGGACAGGAGCCTGACCAAAGTGAAGCTGAAGCCCACAGCAAAATTGCTCATTGCTGGAAACACTGAGCTTTGAAGCATTCCCAATCCAATGCCAGCAAGATTGTCACCCCCTGGGACACAGACACATCTCAGCTCACACCCCCCAGGGCTTTTCTGGGGCTTTCCTTCACTGTTTCTAAGCAGCAAAGCTTGCAGCAGGTTGGACACACGTGTGGCTCAGACAAGGATAGGATTTTTTCCAGTGGGAATTTTTAGGGAGCATCCTGTTCCTCTGTCACAGCAAGCAGAGCAGCGGCTGAGTACAGAATTGGCTGCAGGGGAATAGGGGTCCCTGAGCTAACCAAAGGCAGGTGGGAAGATCACATGCTCAGCATAACAGAAAAAATAGATTTATGGGAAAAAAAAATAAAACA